AATTTCGACACTATTCAAGGAATTGCGAATATAAGCTGCCTTCCGTTTGGCACATTTGAGGTTTAAACCTTCAGAAAGTTACAAAAAAAAAAAAATTTCTACTTTTATTTATTATTAGCAGACCCGGCGAACTTCGTTCCGCCCAAAATAAATTTTTTGTAAACATTTTGGTCCAACATTTTCACCTAGATTTCACGTTCATGATTTTTAGTGACGCATTTGTCTTCCAATATTACGGTTTGGTGGTTATCATAAGGCATATTTGCCGTCTTAAGTAACTTAGCAAAACTGTACATGCATACAAAGATACGTAATAGTTTCAGTGCGTTTGAAAGGCGCCACGTCCCCTTTTCAAATACCATTTTCGAGTAATCTACCATGGGAGGTGCCACGTCCCTTTTTCCAATAGCCCCAACTTTTCTTCATGACCAGTCGCTTTTTATATATCTTGCACATACCAAGTTCCAGTACTCTTCCATGAACACATCCAGAGATATGCAGTATGAAAAATTCGATGTGTATGGGAAGTGCCACGCCTCCTTTTCCGATAACCACAATTTATCATCATGAGTATGCGATTGCTTTCATATACAGTGGCTCACAGCTTATTTCGTGTGTCAATTCATTAAAAAGGAAATGCGTAATATTTTGCATATGTGCTAGATTTTTAAAAAATCGAAAATGTACATTCAAAGATATTTTAACTTGAACTGTAATGAGAAACAAAAAAGTCCAAAATGATTTTCTTTTAAATTGAATTTGTACAACAAAAACCAAATTCATAGTAAGACAGCCTCACATCTTATTTCGTGCGGGCACTTTTACCGTTACTGGCGCCAATGTGCTGGTTAGACAAATACACCAATTGACTTTGAATGTTTCAGTAGATCATTTCTTAGTGTAATTTTGGTGTTTCAAAAGATCGGACGCGAATATTAATTTAAATACCGCGATGGGTCGCCGTACGTCTATTGAAAAGCGCGAATTAGTGATTCAGTTATTTAAAAATGGAAGTTCTCAGAAAAAAATTGCGGAAAATGTAAATTTAAGTGCTTCTACAGTTCAGTACATAATACAACGCTTTGTCCGTGAAAATAGAGTGGCTGACAAAAGTCGAGAGGCGCCAAATAAAATTTTTACAGCGGCCGATGAGAAGTGGATAGTCAGAAAAATTAAGAAAGATCCAACAATGAGTGCACCAGCTTTGGCAAAAGAGGTAGATAAGTGCTTGGAAAGTCATGTCATCCAGAAACAATCAGAAGGATTCTTCGAAGTGCTGATTTTCATGGACGAACAGCCCGAAACAAACCATTTATTAGTGAGCGCAATAGAAAAAGCAGAATGGAGTTCGCCAAAAGCCACGTTAATAAAGACGAAACGTTTTGGAAGGAAGTAATTTTTGCAGTAAAGTAAATGTAACCTTTTTGGTTCCGATGGGAAGTCTTTCGTGTGGCGCAAACCTAATACAGAGCTGCAACGTAAAAATTTGCGCGCCACAGTAAAACACGGTGGAGGCCATGTAATGGTTTGGGGCTGTATGTCCTCAGCGGGTGTCGGAAACTTGGTTTTCATAGAAGAAATAATGAATAAAACAGTTTATTTGAATTTGTTGAAAAATAATTTACTACAAAGTGCTGAAAAATTGGGTATCCGGGAGCAGTTTAGGTTCTACCAAGACAACGACCCGAAGCACAAATCGGGAGTTGTTAGATCTTGGCTTTTTTGGAATTGCCCACATGTGGTTGAAACGCCAGCACAATCGCCCGATCTCAATGTTATTGAGAATTTATGGAGTGTTCTTGAAAAAAATATAAGGAAACATCAAATAAGCAACCGGCAAGACCTGAAAACGGCATTGCAATTGGAGTGGGAGAGAATAACACCCGATTACACCAAAAAGCTTGTTAGCTCCATGCAATCTCGGCTGAACTCAGTTTTAAAACAAAAGGGTTATCCTACTAAATATTAGTTACTAGAAAATTTATAATTAAAATAAAACACATAAGAGAAAAGGTTTAAGTTTGTTACGGTACACGAAATAAGCTGTGAGGTCGTTTTACAATGTGTTATGTTTTTGTTGTCGAAATTCTATACAAAAATTTAATATTTGTTTGTTTGTTGGTGTATGTATGTCGCAGACATACATCATTAAAAGCTCATTAAAGTTTTTTTGAAAATAAAGCACATAGTTAAAATATTACACGTTTTTCTTTTAATCACTGACTACACGAAATAAGCTGTGAGCCACTGTATCTCCATACCAAGTTCGAGACCTATTCCATGAACATTTTCCGGGACATGCAGGGGAGGCCCCCTGGACCTAGAGGTATGAAATATGCTTGACATCCGATTCTCATACCTACCATATACAACACAAAAATTTCATAAAGATCGGTCGAGCCGTGTAGGATGAGTTCGATTTGTATATATTAGATAAGCACGATGCGAGAACATAGAAAAAATTTCGATGAAAATCTCGGGTTCACAAGTATCCTATCTCTTAAGTTGGAACCAACAATACACACCCAAAAAATTTCATTGAAATCAGTTAAGCGGTTTCGGAGATTAGCGTAATCGAACACAGTGACACGGGATTTTTATATATTAAGATACCCTAATTTAATCACCTACCATAGATACGTTTGCGTACTAAATTTCAATTTCATTTGACTTACGGTTTTGAAATTATAGCTGATAAAATTTTCCACGCCTATGGGAAGTGCCACGCCCCCTTTTACAAACCCATTTATATATAAGCACCTACCATTGATATATCTGCATACCAAATTTCAAGTTCATGGGACTTATAGTTCCGATGTTATAGCTGATAAAAAATTCCATGCCTATTGGATGTGTCACGCCCTCTTTTCCAAACTCATTTATATATACCCTAATATAAGTACCTACCATTAAAATGGCTGCGTACGAAATTTCAAGTTCAAGCGAGTTCCGGAGTTATAGCTGATGAAGAATTCCAGGTCCATGGGACGTGCCGCTCCCCCTTTTCCAAACTCACTTATATATAGCCTACTATAAGCACCTGCTACAGATACGCCTGCGTACCAAATTTCAATTTCACGTGGCATATGATTCCGAATTTTCCACGCCTATAGGATGTTCCACGCCTCCTTTTGCAAACTCATTTATATATATGCTACTATAAACGCCAACCATATGTATGTATGACTGAATAACAAATTTCAAGTTCATATGACTTATAGTTTCAGATTTATAGCTGATAAATTATTCCACGCCTATTGGATGTGCCGCGCCCACTTCTACAAACTCATTTATTTATACCGTACTCTAAGCACCTACCATATATATGACTGTATACCAAATTTCAAGTTCAAGTGACTTATGGTTCCGAAGTTATGATTGATAACAAATTCCACGCATATTGGATGTGCCACGCCCACTTTTACAAAAACATTTATATATACTCTACTGTAAGCATCTACCATATATATGACTGCATACCAAATTTCAAGTTCATGTGACTTATAGTTCCGGAGTTATAGCTGATAAAATATTCCCATGGGATGTGCCCGTCCACTTTTTCAAACTCATTTATATATACCCTACTATAAGCACCTACCATATGTGTGACAGAATAATAAATTTCAAGTTCATATGACTTATAGTTTCGGATTTATAGCTGATAAAATATTCCACGCCTATGGGATGTGCCACGCCTCTTTCTGCAAACTCATTTATATATACATACCTTACTGTAAGCATCTATGTCTATGTCTGTATACCAAATTTAAAGTTCATGTAGCTTATAGTTCCAGAGTTATAGCTGATAAAATATTCCCAAGGGATGTGCCACGCCCACTTTTTCAAACTCATTTATATATACCCTACTATAAGCACATACCATATGTGTGACTGAATAACAAATTTCAAGTTCATATGACTTATAGTTTCGGATTTATAGCTGATAAAATAGTCCACGCCTATGGGATGTGCCACGCCTCCTTTTACAAACCCCTTTATATATACCTTACTGTAAGCACCTACCATAGTTATATCTGCATACCAAATTTCAAGTTCATGTGTCTTATAGTTCCGGAGTTATAGCTGATAAAATATTCCTATGGGATGTGCCACGCCCACTTTTACAAACTCATTTATATATACCCTACTATAAGCACCTACCATGTATATGACTGTGTACCAAATTTCAAGTTCATGTGACTTATGGTTCCGAAGTTATGATTGATAACAAATTTCACGCATAACAATGCCACGCCCACTTTTACAAAGTCATTTATATATACTCTACTGTAAGCACCTACCATATATATGACTGCATACCAAATTTCAAGTTCATGTGACATATAGTTCCGAAGTTATGGCTGATTAAAAGTTTCACGCCTATGGGAGATGCCACGCCCCCTTGTCGAATCCCAATTTTTTTACCCTATTATAGGCCCAGGTGTCATGGCAATATTCTGTCAAAATTTTGTTCGATTCTGTCCGTCCGTTTAGGATTAAACCTGGTACATACATACACACATACATACTTCCACAAATATATAGTAGATATATCCTTCTCTTAGCGTGTAAGTTTCAAGTCCCAATATTTCTTTTCAATTCAGCAAGTAAATGTAATTTTTAGGAATATTCTGACCCCAGCGTCACCTACCGAGCAAATTTTTTGTAGAAATATTTATTTTCAAGGTACTGATATATGTTCCAAATATGAACCCAATCGGTCCAGCCGTTTAGTAGTTTAGTGACATTCAATGTAAAGAAAACTGTATGAAATTATGAAATCGTGACGTCACAGCATTCTTAATTTTTTGGCAACAACAAAAAGTTTTGAATTTTTTAAATCGAAAAACCTTCCACACAGAAGGTCCAAAATAGTACTTTTTACAGAATTTAAATCGGTTCAGCCGTTTGGTCAGGCATCGCGGTCATACGAAAAACATTTAATTTTTATATATATAGATATATATATTTTTGAAATAAAAATACTCCACCTTGTACACCAAAGAATTTCTTTAAACCATCTTGCGCAGCAGTTTGTTGATCTTATCTTCACCGTTACCGAAATCACCAACCTCAACGTAGTGATTAGCGCTCTTGCGCCAGCCGCCGGTTGGTGTTGAGCTTGAATGGCCAGAGGAAGTTGGAGGCTTTCTTGAAGTGGGATCCAAAAGTGAATATTTCGTGCGCCAAATAACAACGCACTGAATATCGTGCGCTTTGCGCAATTTGCGTTCGATCACAAAGTTGTCAGAGATTGAGACACGTTGATGGTTGTGCTTGACAATTCCACGTTTGTAGATCAATTCACGAACTGATTTAAGATTTGGATAACCCCATGTTATATAGGGTTCGGCAATGCGTAGCATATTAATGGTTCAATTTGATGAACAAACCGTGGTTAATGTGACGAAAACGGAACAACAGTAATGCCTTGGTTATAATGGACGGGGCGAATCGTAACAAATCGCGGCGAATTCGTAAGGATCTATTGATTTTAGATTGTTCCGTTTTACGTTACGTTACGTGCATTATAACCATTTGCATTAATTTCCCATACAATAGATAATTAAGTGACAGTTCACTCCGTTCCGTTACTTCCATTATAACCCAGGCATAAAACTTTACGGACTTTTGGTGAAACTTTGTTGATACCGCGGATACAGATAACAAAAGCCAATTTGTCTTTTGCAGGCACGTAGAATGGGCCGCGTTTCTTTGCCAGACGGCGCAACTTATTCTCACGGCGTCCATCACGGAGATATTTTGTTAGATATTTCTCAACCAAGTGTTCACGTTTGCAGAGCGTGATCACAGCAGAGCGCTTTAGTTTACGCTTAATCAGGGTAGCACGTTTGCTGACCTGCTTCTTGCTGAACTTCAGCTACGACTCGGAGACAGAAGGCAGCTTGCTGGAAGGTTGTTTGCCCTTTGCTTCGGGCTTCTTACCGGCCGTGGTGGCAGTCATCTTAACTTGTAACTTAGCACGTTGAGAAGATGAATAAAATTTCGCCAAATGTTTGGAGCACATCTTAAATAACGCCACTCGATTTATAACACTTCCATTAAGCACAATTTCATTTAATTAAATACTTTTTTAATACACAGATATGCTGCAACCAGGAACTTACTTTCCCAAATTCCATCTTGCTTTTCGGCATAATTTTCCAAATGTGCCTGCGCTGCTACTTCATACTAATAATTTCATTTTCAAACTGCGCCTTCTTTGTTGCCTCAACATATCCTAAAAATACATAAAATTTACATTAAACAATAGAAATCGCAAAAATTAGCAAATAAAATACTCCCTTCATTTTGTTTTGTTGTCAAATTTCTGAGAAATGTGAATTCACCACGATGCAATACACAAAGAACAAGGACCAGGGATGTAATTTTAAGTAAACCTAATATTCAGTGGCAATGCGCAGAGCGTTCCGAGTAGCGAAATTAATTTGTATCAAATATAACATTAAACGGTGGCTATAATACACTTTTTAATATCTTTAATCAGAGTACATATATAATATGGTATTTCTTTCAAAAATTAATGCACTATATGCATATTTTTTTTTTATGTTTCTTAAGTTTCTTTCAATGGTGCTAAAAAGCACCCATGCGTGTAAGAAATTGTGTGGTACCTAAAATTTCACCTCTGGAAACTTTATCCCCATAAAGGACTTCACCACAGTTTTTTTACTGGATATACTGAGGTTACTGAACTGTTGCGCCTTCTGAACGTGCCCAATATAGCGGAATTAGAGCGAGAAGTTGCCAACAGATAACATCTTGTATTATTGCATCATGTGGCACCCTGAAATTGTGCATATGGAAACTGTGCATACGAAATAATGCATATGAAAAACACCGAAATAATGCATATATGCACAGTTTCGGTTGAAAACCGAAATAACGCATATGACAAAACCGAAATAATGCATACTTTCGTTTGAAAACCGAAATAACGTATATGAGAAAAACAAAGTAATGCATACATGCACAGCTTCTGTTCAAAACCGAAATAATGCACATGACAAAAAACCGAAGTAATGCATACATGCACAGTTTCGACTCAAAACCGAAATAATGCATATGACAAAAACCGAAATAGTGCATACATGAAAACGAACTTCTTTCTGCGTAGGCGGCCTTTGGCCGCGCTTAGGGATTATAACCCTTACTTAGTAGAACTCTCTTTTCTGTGTTGCCGGAAAAGAGGACCGGAAGTATTTCTGCGCAGAACTTTCTACGTAGGCGGCCTTCGGCCGCGCTTAGGGATTATAACCCTTACTAAGTAGAACTCTCTTTTCTGTGTTGCCGGAAAAGTGGACCGGAAGTATTTTTGCGCAGAACTTCTTTCTGCGTAGGCGGCCTTTGGCCGCGCTTAGGGATTAAAACCCTTACTAAGTAGAAGTAAATAATTCATATTAGAAAAAACGAAATTATCCATATGCACACCTTCGTTAGGAAACCGAAATAATGCATATAACAAAATCCGAAATAATGCATGCATGCACAATTTCGGTTCAAAACCGAAATAATGCATATGAAAAACCCGAAGTAATGTATACATGCACAGTTTCGGTTGAAAACCGAAATGATGCATATGTGATAGACGAAGGTATGCATACATGCACAGTTTCGGTTGAAAACCGAAGTAATGCATATAAAAGAAAAAACCGAAATAATGCATGCATGCACAGTTTCGGTTGAAAACCGAAATAATGCATATGAAAAACCCGAAGTAATGCATACATGCACAGTTTCGGTTGAAAACCGAAATAATGCATATGAGAAAATACCGAAATTATGCCTATGCATACTTTCGTTTTAAAAGCGAAATAATGCATATGAAAAAAAAACGAAGTACACGCACAGTTTCGGTTGAAAACCGAAATAATGCATATGGCAAAAACCGAAATAAAGCATACATGCGCAGTTTCGGTTGAAACCGAGATAATGTCTAAATGCACAGTTTCCATATGCGCCATTTTGGTGCCCCGCATCATGTGTATGTACATATGAATGCGAGGGTACAATCGATAGTTTCTTTTCGATATGGTCAGCCGTTTTTTGCAGGGTAAATAGAGCTGCAAAATTATCGATGGACTGTACGATGTTTTCGATAGTTTTGGGCCTCGCCCTTGCAAGAAGCGTGACCTATGATTATCGGTTAAATTAGGGGGAAAACTGATTAAAACTTTTCGGCAGTTTAGCGGTTAGTGATTTTTCTGACCACTATTCTAACCTCTAAATAATTGATAAATTAGTGAATAGATGGCAGCGAAATGTCCAAAAATACATGAAATCAAATTAAAAAATATAATTCGATTTAGTTTATGTGTTTGTTTTATTTGTAAAAATGTATTGTCGAATACTAACTTAATTTCGCAAGCTTTTTCAGAGCTACTGAGCTCAGACAATTCTTCTCATTTTTAATCAGGGTCTGAATTTTCGTCGCCAAAAACAAATGCCTCAGCGCCGTTTAGTCTTTCTACCTCCATTCCTAGGTTCTTCTGGAGTCCCCTGTTGGCGTTGCACTGTATTTCAGCACTGTAGTCACTGAAGGCCGGTCCACATAGAACTTTCGCGTTGGTTTTGGTGTTGGCGTTGGTGTGACAGAACGCACGATAAAAGTATGCTTGCTACAATGAACGCTTGGCAGTGAATGCTTGGGCCACTAAATTAACATACTACCGACACATAAATTAATATTTCATATCAATAATTGCTTTAAAAACGATATTTCTTGCCCGCACTTGATTAAAAAGGAAAAATATTTCATATAATTTTATTTATTTGCAACAGCTGACGAGCGAAGCACGCGAAAAGAGGAGAGTTGGCCATCTTTTTGCTTTGTGTTGGCGTGAGCGTTGCCGAATATTGGCTATGTGGACGGCTGCATTTGAATTCATGTATTCATAGTCAGCTGTTGAAGCGACGCCAACGCCAACGCAACGCCAAAGTTCTATGTGGATGGGCCTATAGAACTTTCGCGTTGGCTTTGGCGTTGATTTGACAGAACGCACGTTAAAAGTATGCTTGCTACAATGAACGCTTGTCAGCGAATGCTTGGGCCACTAAATTAACATACTAACGACAGATGAATTAATATTTCATATCAATAATTGCATTAAAAACGATATTTCTTGACCGCACTTGATTAAAAAGGGAAAATATTTCACACAATTTTATTTATTTGCAACAGCTGACGAGCAAAGCACGCGAAAAGATGAGAGTTGGCCATCTTTTTGCTTGGTGTTGGCGTGAGCGCTGCCGAATTTTGGCTATGTGGACGGCTGCATTTGAATTCATGTATTCATAGTCAGCTGTTGAAGCGACGCCAACGCCAACGCAACGCCAAAGTTTTATGTGGACGGGCCTTGACTCCACAGTCGGCCTCACGGTGCAGCGAACAAAGGTGGCGCCGTCAGTGGTACCGCTACTTTGGTTTTGCCGATTTTGACAGTTGTGGTAACTTGTAAATAAACCTTTGTTTACAAATCAACGAAAGAGAAAGTTGAATTATAAGTGCAAAATCAGTTTAAATCGTGTTAATTTGCAATTTGTGAGTGATTTTTGAGTTGAAGACTGCGTATACAATGAATACAATGAAGTGCTGTGTGTTAAATTGCGACAACCGTCAAGATGCAAGAAGCGTAGATGCAAGTGTAGCGCTGGGACGAATCGTTGCATTTTGTGTACATAGGGCACGGCAAAGCCGTTCCCGAAATGTTTCTCTATTATTTATTACCAGCATTTCCTCACAATGATTTGGTTTCTGCTCCACGCAGCCTCCATTAGCAAGTTAACTAATCAGTCCCGCAGAGACGCTGCTGCAGTTTTCTGCAGCAGCCTTAATTGCAAAGCAATGAAGTGCACCACAATGTTCACTGTTCTTTAATAGATTAGGTGAAAAATGCAATATTTTCGCATTTAGCAAAATTAAAACACGTTTTTCGCAGTAAAGTGAACTGCTTTGGCTGTTTCAACTCGTTCTTCTTTTCGCTCTATTCTTTGTTTACTTGTGGTACACAAATGTCAACGCCCAGGACGGCGCAATCTTGTATTCTATCATTCTTGAGTCGGCCTGAGCAAACTGGCCTCAACTTTGTTCTTCTCTATCCACATAGCGCTAAAAAAGGTTTTTTGCTAATTTTTTTTTTTATGTACAAACTGAATACACTGATTTTTATTAATTCTTTCTTTAAATTCACCGACTTCTTCTCTATTTTGCACCGCAGCTAACAATAAAGTAAAATTTTCTTTGATGTATGTGTGTATGTGCATACCCTGCAGTAAGCCCGGGGCCAGCCAACGCTAAGTCACCATGTACGTCTACAGCGACAATTGCACTAGTGCGAATATCGACAACGGTTTCTTTTTGAAAAAAGTGACCACGGTGGCACAGAGAAGAAGATTAACTTTTCCTCGAGTAGTGTGAATAACAAGCACAACCAATTTGACAGCTAACGAGCTTTGATTGAGATTATATTTATATGTCAACGTACTTTTATGCTTTGCCGTTCGCATATGTTTACACATCAAATTTCATGAGTACCTGGTACTCACCCTTTTTTTTTGTGTATATTGTCTACACTTTGTCAACAAGCACAACAGCTGTGCTTCGTCTTGCATTTTCTATTCCATCAGATATTTATTTGAGCGTGCACGTGCGGGCGAACAAATTTTTTACAAAATTTGCAATTAAATTGAATACAAGTTTGTGTGCTTACCTGTTGAGTCTGATTTCATAATTATGCCAATTTTACACAGCTGCCTTCCAGAAAAATGTCGAATGAGCGGGCTCAATGTTCAAAAGGAAAACTAAAATATTTTGCTACTACGAATTGTCCTGGCTGTCATGAAATTTCAAAAAAGCTTGAAGAATAGAAAGGTATGTTGCTTTAAAGACTTTTAAAATCACATATATAGTCAAAATACACTTTGTTTTGATTAGTGTTTACTGCACAATACTATTATTTATTATTTCAGATACCGTTGAAAAGCAACAGAACACTATCATCGAGATATTGGCGGAGCACAAAGTGTTGTTGGACCGTCTTCTTTCCCAAAATGTTGCAGTGGAAAACATTATGAGCATTTTTCCTATAAACTCAGATGAAAAATTTAAGGAATTTGACAATATTTTAGCTACTAATGCGGATCCTTATGTAAATGTATACTGTAGCTGGAAAATAGAATTAGCCCAAGTTGTTAAATTTAAACATTTTTTGTAAGCGACAAATGCAACTTCTTATTGCTGGCAATGCAGAGCGAAACTTACATCAAATATTTGGCCAAAATATAATAATGAACTATAATGTTGACGGAATCAGCGGAAAGAAACGACTACGGGATTTATGCAATGTATTTTCCGTAATTATAGGCACAACATTTTTTTTACTACGGTTAATTTTTAAATCGTATTGGTTTTTAATAACAACGTATTTTCTTCTTATAACCAGATGTCATATCGACCTTCAGCAAATCATCAGACACAACTTTGAGAGCAGCTTTCCAACGCCAAAAGAAAAAAATCTCCAAGCAAACAACCCGCATTAAAACCAAAAAAAAATAAGGAGAACCGAAATGATGAAGAAAATGAGACTGAGATATACGAGGAAATCGAATTTATTGAAGAAATTGATGAGACTTAATATATAAAAACTACAAATACTATTTTTTAGATTGTAAGGTTTAGCTAGCCTTGAAGAAATATGCTAAAAACCAAGTACCTTTTTTATTAAAAAATAACTATCTACAAGACATTTTTATCAACAATATACATATCTGTATTTCAATGAATTGTATTATCCAAAGGTATAAAAAAGTGTAGACAATAAACACGAAAAGGTGGTAGAGAATCTCTGTAGTGCGATTCAGTAACTCTTAACGATGCATTTGTCGAGTTGTTAATTAAAGATTTTTGTCGTTGTCAATAACGCGTCACTAACTCATTCCTAACGACAGTGACAAGCTGACTTTTTCCATTAATTCAAATTGATAAAAAGTGGCATCACCGCTGTTATAATTTCAGAATGGCGTCTACCAGTGGAGCAGGAGCTAAAAGGAGTCGGGCATCAGCGGAGCAGCTCAACGTGATGATCGACCTTCTCACGGAGAACGAAAGGCTTACGTCTGGAAAGTTCCAGCGTCTCCACGGAAAGCTGGAGTACCAAAAGAAGTGGGCGGAAATGGCACAAAAGCTCAACGCAATAGGAGGAGCTGTAAAGTCTGTGGAACAATGGCATTCGGTAAGTACTTATCTTGTGTTTTAAGTGTGTGTATATAGGAAGCAGTTTTCGAGAGTGCGATAAAAAAACAATTAGTATATATATATGTACATACGTGAAGTACAATTTTTTAATTAATATGTGCAAATGAAGGATCAGGTTGTTGGTTAATTCGGAAAAGTAATTTTTAGTGTTCAAATTCATTTTTAACATATTGGGTACAGTTTAGTTATTTGTGCAACGACTTTGGGTTGCTGTGCCCAAACGTGTGACCCGAATCAAACAACCTTTACACACACTTATAGACAAGAGTATACACTTTTTTTAAGCAAAAGGTTTACCATAGCTGTGCATTAATTTATTTATAATTTAGGTTTGAAATATGGTATTTTTGCAATCAGCTCCCAAGCAATAAAGTGCGGTCCATCGTCTTTCTTTTAAGGGAGGTTTGGGGGGCCACGCCAACTCCCCCTCCGCTCTCTACCCCAAAATCGTTGTACAAATAACTTAACATTTCCCCCGGGACTTTTGTTTAATTTTGTTTGAGCTTCCTGTGCACATTTATTTATACTTTTATTTTCTTGGCCATTCATAAATATGCTGTAAGGCTTTATATACTACATATTTGTTAACTATGTATATCATTACTTTGCAAACAGGTCTGGCGCGACTTAAAAAGCCGTACAAGCGTACGTGTACGTGACCGGAAGAGGAAGCAGGCTCTAACAGGCAACAGGCCCATCGAGCAGCAACCTTTAACGGAGATGGAGAGGCGGGTAATTGATCTGATTGGGATCAACTACATCGAGGGTCACGAAGTTGAAAGTGTCTATTAAAAATCGTAGAATTTTCCTTAATTTTGTTAATTAATTTTAATTTTAATTAATTTTTAATCAGATTTTATAAAATAACTTCAAGTACGCAGTTTTATAGCGCATTAAATTAAAAATCAACGCGATTTCCTAGCAACCTCATTTTTACACATTGTTATACTAAAATTTAACTGTTGATTAGAAATCGTTGAATTTTCCTTAATTTTGTATAAAACTTGAAACCTTGCTTTGTATGATTTTGTTTTAAGGATGATCCATATTTTTATAAAAAAAATAACAAACGAATTTTAGCTTCCAAAATATTGCGAACATTTAAAAAATCAATGGTGTATACAGACTTTTGCTGTTAAGTGTACATATCATACAAGAGTTAATTTTATGGTTTTTCTTTTAATTTTCAAAATAAATTACTTATTTTTTTCTTTTATGTTTTAAATTAATTATTTTGTACCTTGTTTTGTACCTGACTGGAATATGTACCTTTAGTTTAAAAAATATATATTTTATGAAATAAATTGGAAATGTTTTTGTTATGAATATGACATAGCTGTTATGAAAATTAAATTTATTTACCTTAATTACACATTCGCCTGCCCCTACCTGGCTACGCCCATGCCCTCGACAAAAAAAAATATCAAATATTAACGGTATTTTATAGGGACATCAAACTTGGATTTTACCCTACTGACATTGAATGGGCTACAAAACTGCATACTTGGAAATTTTCTAAAGATTCTGAATAAAGTGTTTGAAATTTTAGTGAACGTTTTTTTTAAGTTTAATAAAGTTTTGTGAGGTTTTTGTTATAGAATGAGGTATATTTTGAATACAAATTTGCGAAAATAGTTCAATATTGAAAATATTTAGAATATTATGAAAAACGATATTACGAAAACTTCTGTGAGTGATTGTATGTAAAATTAAAAGAAAAAACTTTAAGTATTTAGAAGACAAAACTAGTCCGAAGATAAAAATGTAAATTTAAAATAAAATGGGTATTCATCTAAAAGCATAAATGCCTCGTAACTTGTAAATAAACTGGTTTACGATACAAAATTAATTAAGTTTACGTGGTTACGAGGCATTTATAATTTTAGATGAAATGCTAAAAAAAAAACAAAAGTATTTAGGAGAAAAAATTAGTAATTAATCGGTCTTGGACACGTTTTCCCATGGAAGATACCGAATTTGAAGTATAGTCGGTACCGTCTGCATGTGCATGTGTTTCTGCTTCTAATATTATATTATTATCGAGTTCATTTATTTGCTCGCGCAAACGGATATTATGCAAGGTTGAGCACGCATTTACAACCTTACCAGCAAAACCAGGGTCGTATAGTAACACTCGTTGTTGTGATAAACATCGCCAAGTTCATTTAGGCACTCCAAATAGTCTATCTACTGAATTTCGAGCTTTGCATAGCGCCTCGTTGTACCGAAACTTAGGAGTATCCTCAGGTTGGTTCGGTAAAGGCGTCATGAGCCATGGCTCTAAGGGGTGTCCTGAATCGCCTGAAAGGAATTTTTTAAATTATGTACATTTTAAAGTAAATTAAAAAGAATACCAATCAAAAGCATGCTGCGGTTTCCATTGTCAAAAGCTCTCTGCATGACTCGCCGAACTGGACAGGACTCCAAATGTAAGAGTCATGTCGTGCTCCCGGAAACCTAGCATTGACGTTCAGTATTTTTAAATTTGGTCACATATCTATAAAAGTATAACAAATATTTATCGCTCGACTTTTATTTAAAATACTTAGCTCAGCATTTGAACATTTATAGAGTGATAGCCATGATGGTTCACGTATGCTTCCTCATGAGTTTTAGGACCCAAAATAGAAACATGCGTGCAGTCTACCGCTCCAATAGTTCCTCCAACAAAAGGCGCAGGCGCTGAAGCAAACACTTCCTTGGCAGCTTGACGGTCCACCTGCGTCATAGGGAACTTAACCTCCTCAAAAAATAGTCCACTGTTTATGCCATCAGTTACGCGATGTATACGACGGCTTATAGATGATTGGCTCATTGATATGCCCCACTGTGCCCCTACAGGCCGTTGGTAGCATCCTGTGGCGTAGAAGCGTAGTGTACACAAAACCTTCAAAGATAAACGATTATTTGGGAAATGTTTAGTTATTTGTGCGGAGCGGAGGGGGAGAGGGTGTGACATCTAAGACCACACCCGTTAGAAAGAGTACAGTCAAAACTTTAAGGAATGTCATCCCTCCCCTCTCTGACCCGTCTACAGACTACCGGGGGCCCATTTTAAAATGGGTTCACCCCATTAGCATTTCAACATGCCACATCGAAACTTACAAAAAAGTCCATAATTAATAAACTTGTGCGTGGAAATTTGAAATCTTTGTTTTAAATTAAAGTTTAATCCTTGGAATACACGCGTATGTTAAACTTTTTAGATTCGAGTCACGCGTTTGAGCATCATTGTACAAATAACTAAACCGTACCCGAGAAATTATTGTATACAAAATTGCATGCTCTAATTATTTAAAGATTTACCTGTTTGTCCGCCGATATTGAGGTAATACTTTTTCCTTTCAATTGGATTTCCAGCCGCTGGATGAGCTCCATTGCAGTCTCTGGGCCCACACGATATAGCTTCCGGAACTCGGAAGGCGCCAGCTCAAATGGATCGTGATTGGCCCGGAGCAAACGCCGATCCACTGTGGGGGTATTTCTGACTCCATAGTTTCGGTGTAAACTAAACGCCACATATTCAAACGCCATTTCTTTTATATAAATTCACTTTGGATTTACTTGCGCGCAAATTCGTTTGGTTAACGCAAACTTAACAACACCAAATGAGATGTCGATAACTTAACCATAAACGAATCGTTAACGAAACAGCTGATTTTGACTTAGCGAATATCGATAAGAAAGTACTTATTGAATAGAAAAATCTTTATAATTATCTTTTAGCTAAATTAGCCACTGCGAATGTCGTTAAAAAAGTTACCGAATCGCACTACTGGTGCCAATGTCTCCATATAGCCCCAAAAGGAGTACTTAGCCAATACCTCTGGAGATTTGCGATGACAAGCACATGTGAGATGTCTATAGCAAATAACATTGTGTGGCTCATATCTCAGAATATCCAGTAAAAAAACTGTGGTGATGTCCTTTATGGGGATAAAGTTTCCAGAGGTGAAATTTTAGGTAGCACACAATTTCTTACACGCATGGTTGCTTTTCAGCACTCATGAAAGAAACTTAAGAAATATTTGAAAAAAAAGTTCATATAGTACATTAATTTTTGAAAGAAATACCATATTATGTATGTACTCTGGTTAGTAATATCAAAAAATGTATTAGAACCACCGTTTAATGTTATATTTGATACAAATTAATATTGCTGCCCCGAACGCTCTGCGCCTTGCCACTGAATAATAGGTTTACTTAAAATTACATCCCTGGTCCTTGTTCTTTCTGTATCGCATCGTGGTGAATTCACATTTCTCAGAAATTTGACAACAAAACAAAGCGAGTATTTTATTTGCTAATTTTTGCGATTTCTATTGTTTAATGTAAATTTATGTCTTTTTAGGATATGTCGAGCCAACAAAGAAGGCGCAGTTGGAAAATTGAGTAATTAGTAATGAAGTAGTAGGCATATTTGGAAAATTATGCCGATAAGCAGAATGGAATTTGGGAAAGTAAGTGCATGGTTGCAGCATATCTATGTATAAAAATATTTAATTAAATTGTTTATAGAAATGTTATAAATCGAGTGGCTCATTTACGATGTGCTCCAAACATTTGGCGATCTTTTTTCGCCTTTTCAACGTGCTAAGTAACAAGTTAAGAGGACTGCCATCACGGCCGGTAAGAAACCGCAAGCAAAGGGCAGACAACCTTCCAGGAAGCTGCCTCCTGTCCCCGAGTCGAAGCTGCAGTTCAGCAAGAGCAGGTCAGCAAATTGCTACCCTGATCAAACGTAAACTAAAGCGCTCTGCTGTGACTGCACTCCGTAAACGTGAAAACTTGGTGCATGCTGAGAAATATCAAACAAGAAAACTCCGGGATGGACGCCGTGAGATGGAGGAGCGCTGTGTGGCAAAGAAATGCGGCCAATTCGACGGGCCTGAAAAATCCAAATTGGCTTTTGTGATCCGCATCCGCGGTATCAACAAAGTTGCACAAAAAGTGCGTAGTTTTACAGTTCTGTCTTCGCCATGATTCAATAATACAAGGTTCGATAAACTGACAGTTGTCTCTCTCGCACCGCTCCCTTAGCAGTGGCACCGTGTTGCTTCTTTGCAAATTTACATGGAAACAGTGTAGCTTTGGTGTGAAATAAAAGTATAAGCTTTTGTGCAATATGTTTATTTGTATATGCATATGAAGCATATTTAACTGATGAAAACATAAGCAATGGATGTTTACATCAATCTCATAGTAGTCTTATTTTAATTTTGAGTCATTTTGCAGTTTTTATACGGCTAAATAGCATATAAATTACGTAATTCACGTAGATATATCAATATTACGTTCAACATTTGGTTTAAAATGCCAGATTTCCTGCAAATACATTAGAGTTTACGAAAGGAACTTCACTACTAATTGCCTACATTGCGTACTTTTCTACTACCATTTTCGAAACAAGGGATTGCATTCTTGCCCTTTCTCTGTCCTTCGTAAATGTAACCTTTTGTAAGGGAGTGTCAAACCGCAGCTGTCAATAATAATCTAACCTTGTATTATTGAATCATGTGTCTTCGCCACATTAAAACGGTGTGTTCAACAAATTGAGCAAGGCAACCATTAATATGCTACGTATGCCGAAGCGCACGAAATTCAGTGCGTTGATTCACTTCACTTCAAGAAAGCCCCCAACTTCCTGTTGCTATTCAAGTTCAACACATCAACCCGAGGCTGGCGCAAGAAGGCTAATCACTACGTTGAGGTTGGTGATTTCGGTAGCCGGGAGGATAAGATCAACAAATTGCTGCACAAGATGGCTTAAAGAAATTGTTGTTTTGTATTTAAGGCGACAATATAATTTGGCACATCTTGAAAAGACGCCCAAGCAAAAAAAAAAAAAAAATTTAAAAATTCCTGAAGTTGCCTTTTCACGGGTCGATTTCTGTCGACTGGAAAATTTACTTAAGATATCGACTATCCAAAACGCTTACATTTTACGGTTGAATTGCAATTTACACGGGTAGATTTTGGTTAAACGACAAAAATCGACCGTGTAAAGGCAGCTTAAATAACGTTCAAATTAATCATCCCCTTTGAGATGGGAAATACCAATAACCATTTCATAATTTCGAAAATTATTCCATTTATATTTGTTCTTGCATTTTCCACACCACTTGTGAGGTATGCTTTTACGCGCGTTACCGATTTTTTTTTTATGTGCTCGGTTGCCCAGGAGGCCTATTTTCACCTTTACAAGTTAACTTAAACAGAATTAAAACTAAAGCATGCAATATATAAAGAAAATTAAAAGTTGTATTACATCTAGTAAACTTAAAAAATTGCACATTAAATTAGTTTTTCATTATAAAATTAAATAAAATAAAACAATTCAGTTGAAGTGTATACATATGTTCATATTAACAAAGGGTGGTCTGTTTGCACCCACAGTAAGTTCCCATGAAGCCTAGCCTAAATTCAGAACTGAAAAAAACGAGCAAATAGGGTCGGAAACTACTAGCCCTAAAAGCATAATGTGGAAAATATTTGAAGAGCTGCGAAATTGTATTGCAATAATAAAAATAACAGTGCATAAATTGGAAAAATGGTTTTTGTTTTGCTTTATAATTTTTGGGAATATTGGTTCAGATGGAATTTTTTTATTTGTTTGGTTTTTCAGCTCGTTAATGATGCACCCAGGGTTGCATTTACTGTATGAAAATATTTCATGAAGCGTTCCAAAATTAGCTCCGAGCAACTATAAGTTGGTTAAGCTTAAATGAAATAGTTTTTTATTAAATATTTATTCCTGGTATTTAGTAAAAATAATTCATCTCAATACTGATGTATGAAATGAAAGTAAATAAAAATCTACGAATACATTTCATGAATATTTTGTCATAGGGCCATTATTAAATACAGACATAACTTTGTCGGGCGTTGGTGCTGACGTATGTATAATTAATGCGTTAGAGAGAGATAGATATACAAGCTCAAGTGCTAATTTAGGTACACTTGTGTACCTGTTACTGGTCTGGCATATACTGTAACTGCGAAAATAATGACAATTATAATCTATTTAGATGCATATTTTAGGTAAATATTATATCGTCGCCTGGATAAAAGATTGTCACAAGTTACTTTCGGTAGCTCACAATTGAAGTTTGGAATGCAATTTCTCAGGAACTAGACTACAGATTTTCTCCAAAGTGTCGGAGAATGCCATGTACTAGTTCATGAAATTCTTAAATTGTTTTATTTTTTTAGTTTAGTGTCAACCATTTATGAGTTTAATAAAATTTTGTCGGATACGATATTTGTCAAAAAATTTGCAGTCAGTTTCAATAATATACGCCAAAATGTGATAACAATTTTTATAAATTAACGATACTTTTTACTAATCAGCCTAATCGTGAGTTTCGCCCGAACCAAATTTCGCCAACAGTTTTTTCATCCACCTGTAGTGAATACACGCAAACGAAAAGTAAAAAGTGACCCGGTTCTAGAAAATGAAACTCATGATAAAGCTGAATATGTCGGAAACTAAAAGTGTGTTTGCATTGTTCAACTTTGCGTTCAACATTTGCGTTCAACTCAGCGCAGGGTTGCACGAAAAAAAAGTTGAATGGCTAAAAATATCAAAATATGAAAAAATATCAAAATATTCGCCATAAAAAGGTGTTTGCATTGTTCAACTTTGCATTCAACTTTTGGTTGAATGGCCTTTCAACTAATCGCTTTCAACAAAGTTGGTCGCCTGCCAACATTTAGGCATTCAACTTTTTTTTCGTGCAACCCTGCGTTGAGTTGAACGCAATTGTTGAACGCAAAGTTGAATAATGCAAACACTGCTTAAAGAAGAACAGATAACTCTATTGGGGTGTTCACAGTTCGTTCCAAATAGTGTCTCAAAATGTAGACGTCTACATTTTAAGACGTTTTCTAACCGTAAAATCTGTGGTGTTGTTGTTTCCCATACAAAATTGGAAAACGACGCCGTCTACATTTTGTCACACTCAAAGGTATGTTTTTTACGCGTCTACATTTTGCAACCTCGCAGCAGGGTTGCATTATGGCAATACTATTCATATTTTTTTATTTATTGGGCACTTTTTCTGTATTTGCATTTAATTTGAGCGCAATTTCTGATAAAATGCAACAAATCAAGGAAAATAAATAACAAATATTACGAATTGGTAATTAAGTTAAATAATTACAATTTTTCAGAAAAAAACTCGAAAGGCGACATATAAAAAAAGCAAAGTTTTGAGACGATTTTGCGACGACTGCTAGAAAGGGGTGCTCACAGTTTGATGCTAAAAATGTCTCAAAATGTAGACGTCTACATTTTCAGACACAATTTGGAACGAACTGTGAACACCCCATATTTGAAAGATTTTGATTAGTTTAGTACGACAGCAACACTAACGCAATTTGTACCAAATAACCGAAAACATTTTAGTCAATTACTCGGAAACTAAAGAAGATATCCAAAAACCACAAATTGTCAAAATGACGCTTCCGGCAATTTTCCATCCAAGCGACGATATTTGAATGTTGCTCGCATATTTTCGAGCCTGTATGTAAATTTTCTGGAGAAAGGTTAAAAAGTATATTCATCTGCTGAAAAGATATTTTCGCAGATTCACATCTTATTTAAAATAAATCTATCAGCCCTATCTCCAATTCCATGTGAATAAATCTCTCCAGTGCTTTAATAATTTTCACCACAATAAATAGCTGCACAACACCCTAATTGCCGAAAAAGCGTTGCTTGCAACACTAGTCCTTTATGGGGACCAAACTTGGTGAAAAAAATAGCTAAGTTTGTTTACTGGATATACTGAGGCTCATATCTTGGAACTAGTACTGGGGACAAAGTCAATAGCGAATCGATAAAGTTT